AGTTCATGTATACACAATGAATATCCTGACAAATTGCCAAAAGCCATTCGTCTTAAATTAGCAAAATCGAATGTATGTACGTAAATGTAACATAATTTCCAGGAATATAAACAGTTTGCTTCGCCAGGCAGCCAGCACCTTTGGTTTGCTATTAAAATTTATATTTATGACGTTTGGAGACGTGCCATTCATGACTTTATGTTCTGGTATAAAACATTCGTGCTATAAACAGACGTTTATACCTCCAGATACACCACGGCACATATTTTTAACATCCTTGTGGAAAAAATAGCGAGCGAGACGGCTTGTTTATGTTCGCTCTTGGCGAGTTTTATCCAAAGAGGGTGAGTGTCGGCAGAACCAAACCTATCGCTGCTAAATCGGGGTTGGACTGGAAGCGACTCGTGTAGTCGTGTGCATGCTGAAGGTTATAAATACCGAAATACCAGCGCCAAGTGCAATGTTATTAGTGCAGCACAGGATGTGAATGGGGAGCTTAGGGTTTATTACACTAACCAGGCCTTGGGGATGGCTAAAATTAAACTCACGGTAGATAGCTCCAACTGCACCGTCGTTTTGTGATTCTCCCGAGATTTTTAAAACGCCCTGTTGATGAAAATGTCATACACTACGACATCCTAGAAAGAGTGTTCACGTTCAGTAAAAGTGTAGTACTCTGTATACACTCAGAAGCAACTGGTTGTAGAATACGTAGTTTCATTTTTACTTCCAAAGGAAGTATTGTAATAGTGTCCACCCGGCGTGTCATGACCCCTAGAGTATCACAAAAATAGATCCCCTGTTTCCGTCTGTCTGTCTGTCGTCTGCTTTTTTCTTGACACATTGAATTTTCTAATTTGAAAAACAAGTGTACATATCAAAACACTGCTTGAATGCTTCGCAGAACTTCGTGTTGGTAAATCTATAATATGATTTTTAAATGAAAATATTTGTCCTTGTTACTATAGGATTTCCCACTGACAGCTGCACAGATCTTATATTCTCTTGTCATGAATAATACCTTTTTGTATGACTCTCGGTGAACGCATCAGCATGAAAATAAATTAAAATCCTGATTTGTTTAACGTTTTCATAGTTATCCACTCAACCCTGCAGACGTGTCCTCTTTCTCGAAGAAATTAAGGGTCATTATTTTCCGTTCACTTTTCCCTTCGCGCTCTTCCGAGGGAGATGAGGTCATAACGCCTGCGTTGTTAAGTAGCCGGGATGAAAGTTGTATAACGACCAGACAAAAATCGATCGGTCAGTCTTTAGCGTTCAGTGCACCCTGTTATATGCAAATAATGCACCCCGCACTCCTTCTTCCCGTACACTATGCAGATTCAAATCCGTCCTACATGCTCGAGTTGTTTTATATCGCCTACAGACTTAGACACGCCATCTTTTGCGGAATCATGACCAAGATCAAGGGTGATAAATTGAAAACGTCGTTCTGGAAGATGGAGAGACGGCTCGCGAGAGAAACAAGCCCGGAGACATGGTAATAATGGGCTCCATATTTTATTGAACGTGGTAATGGAAGTATTCTTCACTCGAAGAAGTGGAAATAAGGATTTTTCACATAGATAAACTACTCTGTCGAGCACTGGACCAGTTGAAAGACAAAAAGTTATTTTCAGTAATAATTGACGATAAAGCGATGAGATGGCACTCAAAAAGGTTCTCAGAACGGTGCTCTCTCTCTAGGAAACAATTCGTAGAACGAATTTAGCTGGAGAGGGATTGCTCTTCTCGGAACTTATTTGGAAGTTGCTCTCGAAAGATCACGAGCGTCAGATTCTTGTGCCCTAAACAACGGGAATCAGTGAAAATATTTCAAATTTCTGTCGAAATTTTAACTTAAACTTACAAAGTGACGGGTGATCTAACAAGACGAAAATTATATCAAATGCAGATCTTCAAAACTCCACGGTTAACTGTTGTTACTTTCATGTTTTCTCGACGTTTCATGACTCCCAGAGTGTGAAAAAAATAGGTCTCGTTTTTCCGTGTCTGTCTGTCTGTTGGTTGTGTTGATTTTTATTAACAGTAATCTCCGAAACTGCCTGACATAATCAAATTATTTTAGATAACTTTTAGAAATATCCTGTAGATTGTAAAACGCTAACCAAAATGTGTCTGATCATCCTCACCAAGAATTAGATGGCACCACCTCAAAATTTTGCATAGTAAGTGCCATTTAAAGTTTATAAAATAACATATTCCTGTATTTTTTTTACCCTTGGGGTCCAAATTTTTCCAAAAATAAATCAAAATTATTTGATATTTTATATTTTTTTATACAATATAAGAGGAACACTGTCCGACGGCCCATTAGCTTAATTGGTTAGAACGTTATGCTAATAACGCGAAGGTCACAGCTTCAATCCCCTCATGTCATGAGACACTTTTTTTTCTGGCACTGTGAGTGGTATAATCAATTTTTTTCTTCCTGAACGTAAGCCAAGGAAGTATAGTAATCGAGTCCATCGGACGACATGCCACTTTCATGTTTTTGCGATGTTTCATGACCCCCAAGAGTACGAAAAAAGTGGTCTCCCATTTCTGTCTGTCCGTCGCCTCTCTGTCTGTCTGTATCAATTTTTATTAGACAGATAACCTTCGAAACTACTTTCTACTTGTCAAATTTTGTACGTATATTAGGAATATCATGTAGATGGTAAACGCTAACCAAAATTTGGCTAATCATCACCACCACCACCAATGGGATGACGTCGTCTCCAAAATTTACGATATGTACTATGTATTTTTTTTAATTCCATAAAATAAGATACGTCCGCACTTGTGAAATATGAATCCGTGTTGAGTTTTCACCCTAGACACCCGAATTTTTGGAAAAAAATCAGTATTTTTCAATTTAACTTTGAAACTGCAAAATCGAAAGCTCTGAATTCTTGCAAACGTCTTACGGTAAATCGTAATCATGGTAAATCGTTAATCAAAATTTATTCGTTTATTCCCTCCCAAAAAATTTATAACGTCGTCCCAAAATTAAATTAGAGAATGTGTAGTTTTCGTAAAGAAAACTGTTTACTTCAGGTTTTAACAAAATGTTTAACGAGGTCAGCCATATTCTGGAAGTAAATTTTCGAAAGACGGGCATAAATTAATTGTTTTCCAACTGTCAAAGAAAACTTTTTATTGTTTACCCACCACTGATTGCCCGTATTCATTTACCCCACTTAGAACAAAATAAAAGTGTCGGATTTTCGAAAATGATTTGAAAACTAATTTAATTAATGGTGAAGTAATGATCAAGGCATTATTAATTAATTAATTACATACGCTAATTACTCGTAAAGTGCAGTATCCAAACAATAATTAATTGCAATTAACCCCATAATTCGTGTGAGTTGTGCAAAAACTGATTTTCGGAGGCATCATATTTCTGATTTTCGTAAACAAATAATTAGGATTTTTATTTTTGCTTATTATTGGTAGTGATTTTTTTGTGTAATAGCCTACCTCCATAATACATACGTAAAAATTTTAATCTCTGCTTTTAAAATTACTGCTCGAAAACACTGCTATCTAGCTCATTAATATTGTTTACTCAATAAAACGCATTACCATCAACATTTTTTTCTTTTTTATTATGTATACTGGTTGCGATGCCGTTACGTCAGAGCAAAATAAACTGCGAAGTCGAAGATGACGTATCACGGATAGCTCACGTGCCATACGATCTTTACACTTCCGTTATCTACTGTTTGGTTTTCTCTTTTAAACATTGTTAGATTAAATACTGATATGGTGTTTATGTTGTTTGGGTTTTGATAGCCGGTCGATCAATTAATGGAGAGGGCAGAAAAGATTAAAAAGTGCCAATAACTAATCATATTTTTGGTAAATTGAGACCGCTTCTTTCGATTATGTAATAATACGAGAATCATACGACGATTAATGGTGCAAATTATGTATTACCGGAAAGGTTAACAGTACTTCTGAACGATTTTTATGTGTTTATTTATCAGAATGCTAATTTTAGACGCGAAACTATTCCACTGGCAGTGATAGACACAACTATTGATAATTCTACGGGTTTTTTAATTATTTATGAAGCCTTGTCGACATAAACATATTTTCTTGAATTCTAAGTATACTAACGTTATCATTGGTATGTTCTAGTAATAAATGTTATCAACTTCCTATCGCATTTGATTTGTAGAACTTTTTCAAAATACGTAAGTATTAAGGAAAGTCGAGTAAATCTTATGATTGATCAGCAAACACTGCATTGTACACTCAATATATTTTTGGGTAAATTTTCTTGCAGGAAGTTTCTCTAGTAAATAAGAAAATCGTTAACGGTTATTGAAGTCTTGGATAGGCGCAATTTAGTACCGAATAGTAAAATTCGTGACCTACGTTAATATTTCGGCCGGGGTAAAAATGAAGAACGTCGGTACGGAAACGCAAATTGGATTGCGTTTGCGTGTTCGCATTGTGTCGTGGAAGTCGTGCGAGACTGGGAATCGCATGAAAGGTTAAGATGTGCGTCATTTATGTGAAGGAAGTAAGTTAATGCGTCCCATAAACATTGTAAATTCGATTGTAAAATACAGCGCAGGCGACGTCTATAATGGATTGGTGGGTGTAAAAGGTCCACGCTTTTGATCTAATCTGATGTTTTATACGGATGATTTATATCTGGTCAGACAATACATTTTAGCTCGATTACAACCGAAAATAGTACTTTTGAGCTCTTCCAACGTGGCTGAGTGTGGAATTCAGGTCAAGTCAACCGGGCGACCTCTCGACGGAGGCAGGTTGGTCGCCCAAGCGTGATTCTGTTATTTTTGTTAATTCACGTTTAAGTCAACCGAAATGCTTCTTGGTGGGTCTGATGGGATTTATTCAAGTCGTAGCGGCCTAGCGGCCGGACGGCGATCAGTGCAGCGCGCGCAAAGTGTGACGTAGACCTTATTGCTATTGGTGTTCGGTGCGGCATGACGTCATCAACATAACGATTACCGAGCCAGTCTACTGTCTCTCCCCTCGCCCCGTTATCGTCGGCGCCGCCGCGAAAGCGCTGGCGCTGGGTTCTCTGTTCTGTTCTGTTAGTTTTAGTGCAGCGTTCGTACGTGTAGAGTGTTGTGTTGAACGTTGAACCTAAACCGGGACTATGTCGTAGTGTACCTCGATGTGCGTGTGACAGTAACCTGTTCCTTATAAACCAGTGTCGGGATTATTTAGATGGTGAAGATGTCAGTCATGCAGATACAGCAGGCCAAACGGCAACATTGCTACCTGTGCGACTTGCCCCGGATGCCGTGGGCCATGGTTCACGACTTCTCGGAGGCGGTTTGCCGCGGTTGCGTCAACTACGAGGGAGCGGATAGGATCGAGATCGTCTTGGAGACGGCGCGCCAGATGAAGAGGGCGCACGGATTTCAGGAGCAGCGCTCGAGCTCTCACAGCTCGAAGAGCCACCGGGCCACGGCCTCCGGCCACGAGCACCAGAACGGTGAGGTGGTGGCCTCGTCGAGTCGCCAGCAGGCCGCCAGCCACCACTCTGGGACCTACAACCTGCACCATTCGCGTTCGGGCATGCTGGCCGACTACCAAGCGGCCCAGCAGCCGCCCCCGCCGTCGCGCGGCGCCTCGGCCATGCCCAGGCCGCAGCAGATGGAGGCGACTCAGGAGCACGACGCCCTGGTGGCCCGCACCACGGTGCGTTTGCCTACGGCCGCCCACCTCACCCACCACCCGCTGCAGGGACACCATCACTCCGCCAACGGCAGGCCGGGGCCGATGCAGCAGCAGGGTTTGAAGAGAGGCCTCTCGTCGGCCGACGATGACGACCACCACGGTCACCATCACGCCAACGGCGACATTAACGGGGCCAAAAGGATGATGTCCGTCGAAGAGCACAGCAATGCAGTGAGGCCCCCCTTAACCAGAGGAGAATCGCTCCCGGCGGTCTCTTTGGCGCAACCGTTCGTCGTTTCGACAGAGAGAAGCTTCAAACAAGAAAAGCATCCCTTGAGGACGGCGTCATTCGATACCGCCACGGCGTTCAAACCCAATGGTGAGATTTTTGTTACTACGAGTTGCGGCTTTTGGGTCTTCGCATCAGTTTTATTGTCGATTGCGGTGGAGACCGAGCCCTTCCGCGGAAAAAACCGGCTTAGGACACCATAAAACTTGATTACACTCGATTTCCCGTTACGAATACGGTATAATTATTGGTCTGATGAATCCACTCCGGATTGATTAACCGCTATCTTCTCTCCTCTTCCAAAACGCGCCCTGTCATTTAAAGGAGACCTTGCGTGACGTCACGGTATTCTATGCACGTAACGATGACGCTACACATCAACATAAATCGCTTCGTTCTCTGCTCTGCGAAAACAAAATAGGTAGAAGCGAATGCTCGCATTTGACATTCAAAACAATAGGCTTAAAGGGGAACCTTGTACATTGGCGGTAACCCATCAAGAGAAAAACGTAATACTCGGTAAACCATGTTTGCCCTCCAACCCCTTTACGAACGAGGCCGTTACGTCCACAAGTCTTTGTGATTTTTGTCCGCAAAAATAAATCTATCTCGACAATAGAAGTACTAAACGTGACCGAAGAATCATTTCGCCTTTCATTTGCGGTACGCCCGCTTGCCTACGTAATGTTTATTTTGGAAAGAGGTAAAGTTTCTACGCCACGGCCGTGTGCATGTTGACACGTCGCCCCAAAAGCTGCTGTCGCAATAAAAATAAATCCAGCCTTGTCAGGCAGTGCCACAGTCACGCTCACGTCACGTATAAATAGATGTCATCCATTGAGCATCGGCGTTGATGAAGCACGTTTTAGACGCGGAAACGACAGATAAGCATTGTCGATATCTGTTGATACGAGTAACGTTTTCGCGTGATGCGTCTGTACGTCGTGTATCGTAATCCGGGTGTCTTGCTTGCGAAATCCGCATCGATAAAGGTGAACGCCTTATTTCGAAATTCCGGAGCGGCAACAGCGTGCAAAGTTCAGTTTGTAAAACGCAGTTTGGCGTCGGTCGTTGTATGAAATAATTGGACGCTTTCACTCGCCATCGGAGAGTCAGCCTTGTGACGTAAAAAAGCAGTCAACGAGCCAAATGGATTACGGACCTGTGTATGTATGGTCGACGGGTGAGAGCTACAAACACGCATAAGACCGGTTCCCGATCTGTCTCGTACGACCGGTTCTTGTAATAACGCCTTACCTGTCCGTCTACTACTCCACATCTACTACGTCACAATCGGCTTTCACAACGTCGGCATTGGAGTGGCATTCCCAGAAGATAAGATGTTTTTAATGGATGTTTACCTGGCCTAGCTCCGGCTATGTTGGCCCCCTTTTCTCTGTTTACCGTTGTGTTTCTGACACCGATAGGAGTTCCTTGTTCATCTTTTTTTTATTTCTCTCTCTGCCTACCTTCGGGTGGTCGGAATGGGAAACGCGCTCAAATAATCTCACAGACTAGTATCTAAGAACACATTGTCCAGAAGGTTCAATAAAATCTGACGGTCTGGTGCCCTACATTTTCAACTTTTGTGCCTCCTACCCTCGTGTTGTTGTTTGCTGACGTCGCATCTGAATACCAACGAGCTGTTTCCAGGGAGACTAATCCAGCGTGTTTTCCCAGGATGAAATTATGAAATCAATTTCGCGATATAATGTTCTTCGCAAACATTTAACTACATGTCAACATTTCTATTATCACTTAATATCAAATATCAAACTGTCGAGAAACTCCTTTATGTGCTAGTAACATGTCACACACATTCGGAAATCCGTAAGCGAGTTCAACCAAGTAATGGTACTCGGTACTTTGTAGAGTTAAAGAACACCGGTTGTAGAACCAGTTGGATGGTGTGTACGTGGTGACCTTGAAAACTTTCCCACGGTTCAACCCCTGATACATCTGCCTATCGCAGAAAACGAAATCAACAACACAACACATTCCAACTTCCTCGCGCTGTTTCGGAGTGAATAAACCGATTTTTTTTTATCGTGTAGTATTTTTCAACCCAAGTCAAATGTTAATCGAATGTGATAAACCGCGTGATTCATTGCCTTCTGACAAGTAGTGTGTTCGATTAAAATTGAGACGCCATATACTAATGTACATATTTATGAAAGTGGTGGGTTAACGATGATTCGAATTTCAAATTCACAATTTTACATGCTCCGAGATTTGTTAGTCATGCTACTGTATTGTTTTAAATTTAGTTGACAACCCACGGTGTTAGATTCGGAAAAGTATAGTTAACTGGCTCATTGTTCGCGATTTGTAGATACTATAACTCAACTACTTCGTAACCGAAATATAATGAAGGTGTTGTTGTCTTTACAGTGTTGATATGTTCTTGAAATTGAAGAAATGCGAATGGTAACAATGAAGACCCAAGGGAGGATTCAAAAACAGCTTGATTTTTTCTATTAATGTACGCTACAAAATTGGTGAAAAAGTTTAAACGAAGCAACTACACCGTCCATGTCACAATGACTCAAAACGTGGTTTACCCTGGTAACAACTCCTGTATGAAATTTATTTTCTAATTAATCCAGTTAACAATGTCAAACCGATTGCTGAAGTACTTAAAATCAGGCTGTATATAAAAACTTGGAAATTTAATTGCTCATTGTTCTTAATAAATAAAGTTTGTTATCTCAAATTGGCGTAACAATTACTGGTTTGTTCTTCAGTCATAAAGTTCTTAATGTTTTTTATGGCTCTTTGTATGTACTTCCCACATTTGAAATTCTTTATTTAATATGATTTTAGATGAATGTGGTTACAAGGCGGTGCTTTAGAAGAAATGCAATAATGAACGTGAATTCAGATCGAGACAGTTAACCATAGTTCGTAATTAATACATCGTCCGACTTTATTGGATTGGTAAAGGCAGGATCGCATGTAGATAATTATTATGCGATACAATGCATCGCACCTGTTTGCATGTCAGTAGTAAATAAACGACTTTTAATAATAAACGCATCACGTGATACGCCTCGATCGCATTATGTAAATGTAACGAACGACTGCATACTATTTTATCCCGCGTCCGCCCTGTATATGCGGGTTTATCAGTCGTAACAATAATAATTAGGTTAAAGAGAGCGTCGGCCTTGTTGCCATGAAAGAAATCCCCTGTTCTTTCACGGACAGATGGCAGCATTTCCTTCCTGACCAGCTGTCTTCTAAGGAAATAGATAATGATATCTTGAAGCAACGGTATCAAACACCTGTACCGTCTGCACCTATACAACTTCTTCCTTTATTCTGTGGGTCAAAGGAAACCAGATATCATCGATATTTTTTTTCTTCGACAGCCTACCGACCCCTCCTTTGTTTTCCACACTGGAGTTTCACCTGCAAATTGATGGTGTTTTAATTAGGCGCACACCCGTTGAGCAGGTGCCAAAAAAGTCTTAACCCATCTCTAGCACCATTGTTTACATCCATCTTGGGCTTTGCGTAATCTCATCTGTCGATATTAACGTTTCTGAGAGTGTAAATCGATATAGTTGATGGACGATCAGCTATGCTTTAAGATTTCAATAGCGGCAAGCAGTTCGTGAAAATCTAGTCCATGATGTACCGGCCAATCCGGTCGGCGTTCGGCGGCAAGGCAAATGTCAAACGCCAGTCGACTGTTTACGTAACGCTTCGTCAAAGGTCACTCGCCATTGTCATTCCAGTTCCACTTAATTATTTTTAAATGTCGGAACGAATCCGACGCGGCGGTGCGAATTCCGATGATGAAACGTGGCAACGCCGCATCAAGAGTGTGGCGGTCGCCGCGGCAACGTCGGTAACCAGAGAACTCGGCGCGGATACGTGTTTCACTCACGTGACCTCGTTTCGTGCGTCTCGTGACGTAAATCGTGACAATTTTAGCGATCGGACGTGGTCGGAACGCGTCGGCGTGGCTCGGCCGCCGAGAATGTGACCACCACAAGTTTTTTTTCAGGCGTTACGTATTTTTAACAGCAGGCAACGGAAATGGCGTCATGCGCGACGTTGCCACATCGATTATCTTTCACGTGCGCATCGCGCATAGACGGTTTATCATAACAGAATGTTTTGTTTTGTTGTGTTTTGTTTGGTTGTTGAAATCGTAACTTTATCGTTTTGTCGTGCCGGAAATTTTGCACTCCTACGCGATGAAATGGCTTCATGCTCTAAATATGGATGATTTTATTATTGTGGAATGGCGGCTATCTTACTTCCTACTTATGAATAAATAATGGCGTTTGTTTTAAAGTTTTTAGCATTTGTTTGGATTGTTTTATCGTAATGTATATAGGAGTGTAGGCTCTATTGTTCTCTGTTCCTGTTTTCGAGGTTATCTTTTATTTTTATGCGAGCATTTGCAAATTTATTTGAAAAAACATTAAGAGTGCGCTTTAGGTAAATTTGTGGCAATTCGAATGAATCATGTGATACGTTTCTTGAATAGTAATTGCTGAGAGAAGGTCGATCTAGTCGTTAACAGAATAGTTGCTGTTTTTACATATTGTAAATATTTATAAACGTTACTACGACAAACATACACCTGTTATTTTCTATAAGCTACCAGCAATCATTTACAAAAGGCCCACATATATTCCATAGCATTTTTGTTGTTGCTTCGACATGTTATATTTGATATTGACATCCCTTTCATAATTTCAAAAGCCAGGACGTGCCAATATTGTGTTAATTTCAAGGAAATTGCGAATTTGATCGTTCTTTATTTTATTTGCAGTTTGTTCGAAGTTGTAAATTCTTTGGCACGCCCGCTGGAAACAAATATATTTGCTAGAATTTTGTATGCATTTGGTGGGTTTCTCTTTCCAATGATGCAAATTATTAGTAAAATTCTTTAATAAATTAATGTCAGTATCTAGGGAGCAAACAATAGATTTATCTCCCTGTTTGTCGTAAATATCTTAAGGTGTATTTGAAATTTGTTTTAACAGAAAAAAAAAACTAAGCGTAGGTACATTTTACAAAATGGATAAAACGTAGCTAAAGTGACTCAATAATAACTTTTTTTTATTCGTACAAAAACAGAAGATGATAAAGTGTAAATTACCTAACACAGGAATTCTTTTAAGTGTGTTTACAGTATGTGTTTTTACAAGTAAAAAAATTATCACAAACATTTCAAGGAAGGCTTAGTTGATTGTACAGCCATTTTTAATGATTACTGGTACTATTTTAGATTCAATTACTTGGTGTATTAGATATTAGTAAATTGCGTTAAAACTCAAAAACAACACTGAATTTATTAAACATCATCCTATATAAACTGTGGATAAGAAACGAATGCAATGGGGAAAGTCCTACTTGCAAATTATGAAGCAAAAGTCAAGCATAAAATAAATGAACATGTTTGTAGGATGTCGAATTTTCACAAAATCGATATTTGGCTAAATAAAACTGAGTTCGAATCAATTTGTCCTTTAGTTCACCCACGCTTCCACGGAACCCATAATAACAGATTTTATATTACAACTTCGAGTAAAAAAAAATACACATAAAATAACGTTGAACGAATAAAAAAAATCTTTCTGCAAATTTTATATTTCCTTCCCGAGCATAAACTAAGGAAAAATTATAATAGGGTATCGGATTAATGGCTAGTTTCATGTCTTCATGACGTTTCATGAGCCCTAGAGTACGACACAGTGCCTCCCATTTTCCGTCAGTCCGTCTATTGATTCGTTCACTGTCTTGTGTCGATGTTTATTAAACAGATGATCTCTGAAACTGCTGTTGTATGTTATGAATATCGTGTAGACGGTAAAACGTCAAGCAAAATTTGTCGAATCACACCCCCACAACATTTTGATAACGTCATCTCAAAATGTTGACATTAAATATTATTTAAATTTTGTATAGTATACGTCGACACTTGATTGTTAATCAGAATTACTTTACAAAAATGTTGTGTAATATTTGCCACGTGTTTCATGCAATCGATGTCTTGCGGTCAGAAAAAAGCAAGTGGACCGTGGTCAAATGATCTGAGGCGTTGAATTTGACCAACTGGAGCTTTGCGCGCGACAGTTCGAATTCCATCCTCGTCGACATTCTTCCAAGCCGTTGCATTTGTTTGCATAATGGTTTGTTTCAGGTGCTAGGGAAGATTTGTTCAAATAACTTCAGACAATATTTTTTTATATTTGCTCGTGTGTTTTAAAACACCCTTCAACGATCATCTAGCTTTTGAAATAGCGGTATGCTCATGTTGTTAAAAACTGACGAATTTGTTCCTTCCCAGACTTCAGCGTTGCGTTCTCCATATATTTAACAATTATAAAATAAGAAACGAAATAATATTCATAACGTTGAGGAGACAAAATCGATCAAATTTTGTTTTCTTTTAGTGTTAAAAGTATTCGTGTGAATACTTTTTATCTGCCGCCGCATATTCTGGTCAACCAGTACGTGTTTAATAGTCCAATTCTTTCGGTGTATAAACTAACCAGTCGAAGTTCAGCATGTACTGAGAATATGGATGTATATATTTCCCCCATTGGTTATTTGTTTAAATATGTTTAATATTGTTCGTATTTGCGCTGTGCCGAGGCTGCGGGAGTGATAGTTATTACCAGCTCTGTTGCTTGAATGTTTATGGCAAACTTCTACCTAGTTTTAAATTAAAATGCGTTTTTCAGTTTGACAAGTTTTGTTTACTCTACTGCTTGTTTTACCAAGTTTTGCGTTGTTCCTTTCGAGCAAATTTTCTTTTGATTTATATGTGCATACGTGTTATATTAATAGAAAATTAAATATCCTACATTTAAAGTGTTTCTGTTTGTCAGTCGTTTTAGCACAACGATTTTAAGTTTACACGAAGCATTGCGTTTATGAAATCTGATTGGCCTTACCCAGTTTACCTAGTTTTGAGATTGATTTATAATTGAGTAGTTTACAATTAGACGGTGTTTAAAGTAGTATTATTTGCAACACTTTCTAAACGTTACATTTAAATTTACAATTCGGGGTTAACGTTCTTCAATATATTTCCGCCATTACTTTTCAGGAATTTACGCCAGTTTTATAATTCTTGTAACTGCTCGTTAGAGGTACATTCTTTTTTAACAAATGATTGCATCACTTTGTAATTTACTAAATCAAAAACGAAAAGTTTAATCACTTAAGTCCTCTTTACTCATACGGTTGTACGTTACGAAGTTACTGCAAACCTATCGACTGTAACATAAACAAACTTACACACTCATATATTTCACCCTTGACCCCAATGGACTCGTTTATCTTATTCCTCTACCATATTTTAGCGCCTGGTTCGGGATCAAACACGAACGGTTCCAGCTCAGGTTCTCCCTTGAGCGGTCGCACCGGTTCGCCTCCCGATCCCACCGCTGCCACTACCCAACAAACTCAAGCTACAGGCGCCACTGGTCAAAGTCCCATGGCAGCCCTTATGTCAGTAGCCGACAATCTACCCCCCGGCAGCCCCCGATCAGCTGTCGGTAGTCCGCCAAGCAGTGCCGCCCCGAGATCCGCCTCAAGGGGATCGCAACATTCGCCCAATTCTACAGGTGAGCAGTGATTTATTCGAGAGATGGAATCTGAAATGTCTTTTTTTCAATTTTAAGATATTGTAGGTTCCACCAGTAGTAGGAGATCGTCGGGTTCACGACATGTGTCTTCTACAACTGTTACTTCGACAGAGGCCGGAGGCGCCATGGGTCCTAATGCTGAGTCTATGACTGGTTCTGCCGATAACGTCGCACCTCCTACTCCGGCTACTACTGCTACTTTGAAATGCACATTGTGTCAGGAGAGATTGGAAGATACTCACTTCGTGCAGTGTCCGAGTGTGCCGCATCATAAATTTTGCTTCCCTTGCAGTAGAGAGAGCATCAAGAGACAGGGGGCTGGGTCTGAGGTGAGATATTTATTTAGTTTATTTTTAGTAATTAATGTACATTCTTCGAATACATTCAAAAAATTCAGATAAAGTCATTTCAAAATAACTAGAGATGATGAATCATAAATAATTGTGGCGGTTGTGGCAAGGCGTTGGTGATTTTAATGAAACTACTAGTAAATTTATCTCTGTGATAAAATAGCATGAAGTCTATGTTCCACAACTTTTCAAAAATTTAAATACGAATTGAAATTATTTTTCCGACAATTTACATGACAAAATGCGTAATTATTACATTATTGTCGGGAGGGTATTTTCCAAATAAATATGTAAAACCAAAAGACGATTTTAATTCTGATTTTTTTTTTGTTAAGTGAATGGAGAGTAATTCCTTATCTTGAAAATTTTAAACGACCACTATTAGACGAGCAAACAAAATTTGTTGTGTTTTGCGGAAATTGTTACAATGTTTGTTCCAAGTTATTTTGCAAGCTTGTTTTGGGTATAATTTTGCACATATACTTTGTCGTATTAAGACAGATGTTTCATAAATGTTCTTTTTCATTTTTTTTATAAATTGTTCGTTTAATACCAACAAAAACGTAAGAGATTCTCAATTTTCCGAAGAATTTCTGCTTTTCAATTACTACGGATTTACGTCCGCTGTATTGAAATTTTCCCCAACAGGAAAACTAACCATCATTATAATAGCACGTTAGTAACATTGACTGCCACTTTGTAAGTCAAAATGTATGCCTTAATACATATGTGGATAGTACTAAGATATTTAACACGTGAATGCCATTTTAATGCTAATGTCATAGATAAAGAAATAATTACCCAAAGGAACTACCTGAGTGTCAAATAAATTCTAAAGTATACTACAGGCACTTTTTCAAAATGCGATATATTTTATCGTAGTGAGCGTTTTACGTAAAATAGTGATATTCCTGGCAACGTTGGATATATTAGTTATACTTTGCTATAGCGACCTTAAACCTTCAATGCCCTTAATCGATGTACTATTATAAACGGTGTATTTTCTTAAGGTGAACTTAAAAATTAAATCAGAAAAGTAAATGAAATGTTCCCCTTTTGTATACTTAAAGTCGTGCCGTGTCGTTCGCGTTGCTGTATTATTGTATAAATTAAATTAAGAGTTTCAGTGCGAAATATTATTAACATTTATCAAAGACTGTCGTCATAAAATTACAAGTGTCACGACATGAACAGAAACATGAAATATTTGATGCTTTTATTTTGCACAATTTCTAGATGTTGTAGGTACCTACCTCAAACACAATTTTTCTACTTTTTGTTATACATGACGAGAGTTTTTCCTGTTTGGTTTGAAAATGAAACTGCATTTCGTGTTTGAAAATCCTCGATTTTTTAAAACTACCTTTCACAGAAACCTAAAACTCTTGACGTAATATTTTTGAACCTAAATCCACGACGATTTTAGTAAATTACCATTTGATAGTTAACCCGCCAAGAGAAACATGTAAAATCAATAACACGCAGTATCGACTCTTCGTCATAGTCTGTTTCTCCTCTAATTATCAACCAGACGGTCGTTTCACTTGTTTTCGTGACGTGGTTCTGATTATAGGGCTGGTGTGTCAGCTGATTTTGACGTTTCACCGCCGAGGTCGTTCACTCTGTTGTCAAAACGACGATTCATAAAAACGAGGGTCATGTCTTGTTAAACAATTGAAATAGATCTACCAATTAAGTTTTATACGGATGCAAAACAGAGCATGGGAAATATAAATCTGAGATTGGTTTCTGATTATAGCGCTGCTTATCAGACATTTTTAATTGTTTCGCAAATTATTTATGATACACCGTTTCCATGAATTGTATCGAACAATATAAACATAAATGAAACGTGCATTGTTGTTAACCCAGTTATTGTTTCTTGCTAAACCATGGCTAAACATGTTTTTATGAAGTTTTGCAATAGTTGACATGCAGTGTCGGAGGAGTTCAGATATGATTCGTTCTTATCGGTGACATAAGAGTATTTCTCTGAAATACACATGCATATAGTTGTTGGTTAAACAAACGATGATGATAATAATAGCACTACTGTACACACACGATGTTTAAAAATGGCGAATTTTTAACAAAATTATCATATCCTTTTTCGAATAGCTAGTAGCATTTCTTGAAAAAAGCTTATTTAGTAACGGTTGGTGATTTTTTTCAGGTGTATTGCCCTAGCGGTGAGAAGTGCCCATTAGCAAATTCTAACGTGCCGTGGGCTTTCATGCAAGGTGAAATAGCGACGATACTTGGTGAAGAGTACAAGGTGAAGAAAGAACGGGAAACCTAATATTGGATGCGCTAAGTACGAAGTACGAGGCTCTCTTTAAACTCGACAAACAGTCGAGAAATGTCTCTTTTCAAATGAAAGAGATGATTTGTTGAAAGTCGCTGGCGAAAGTTTGAAGAAGCTGGATTTAAAATATGGTTTGTCAGTAATCAGGTTGATATGTAAAATTGAAGCGAAGAAGGCTGTGTCGAAATATTAGTTTAAACTTGGACAAGTCGTCCATCTGTCCGTCTTATGATTGTATACCCACCGAATTAAAACAAAAATATATATGGCTAATATCGCCGAAAGTGTACATATAAAGAGTCGGGTAGTGAAAAAAGAAATTTGTTTTACTTTAGTTTTTTGTTTACTGGCGTTTTTCAACGTCGCACTTTTTGCCTAAAAACTTCTTATCTGATTTATGTCTGTCTCAGCTTTATAGATTTGTGTATTGGACGTTATGTTAATTTGTAAATATTGTATATAAAAATCGTGGTAAAACTTGCAAAAAAAGTGTACAAAGTATATTATTTAAGCGAACGTAGATTTAAGTCTTGAAAAATAAATTTTATACGCACAACTAGTCAGTAAAAATTTATAACTTTTTTTTTTTGGTTACTCGTCTAGTTGTAGTGTGAAATTTATTAACCTGAAGTATGACTTGAGTTTTATTTTGTTGTGTAAAACTGTTCATACTATAAAAGGCCTCTTATGAAAAGCTGTAAATATTGTATATTCATCAGCTGTTTAACGACATGGAAAATCGACCAGATTTTAAAAATGCCGTTCTTTATTAGTTTTGTAGAACTTTGTTATTAATGGTACACTCGGGCCATGGCTTTTTTTATTTATGGAAAGTAACCTAGTCAAAACATGAAGTGTCTCACACTTCATTTATAGGAACTCAAAACTCGCTGGTATATTGTAAGAACGATAATTAAAGAAAATCCTTGATTAAAAATAACATTTAACTTGTATATTCATACCATGTTTAATGTTCAAGGTCTCCTCACATTTGTTTGCTTGTTTAGTGAGAATATAACAGTATACCGCTATAAAAAAAAATTTCATTTCTTCTTTGTTTCAGATTAGTTTATTCTTCCTAAACAAAGCCTCAAACAAACGACCATTTTTCGATTGTATAGACCTTGTAAATAAACTACATGTATACCCTAAAACGACATTGTTACCACAGCATTTGGCAGAAAACTTGACCATCCTGCTCCACTTAATTTGGAATTTTCCAGTTGACGAATTTTAACTTGGACGTGACTGGTTCACATAAACGTTTTTATTGCATAACATTGGTGCTGGCTACACGTCACAAGTTTTTAAAAGTGCAATAAAAACTTTGTGTGGCGCCAAGCTGATAATAAATTTTGTTTCACGTTAACAGAAGTGAGGATAACGTTTTTGCTTCTCTGGCCCTAAAAATAACTAACTTGTAACATTGAGAGTTTTGAAATTTGTGATAAATGCACAGATATTTGTATTGACAATGTCAATCTTGTACATTTTGTAGTTGTTAATTTATATAACAACTGACATCAATTTGTTTGGAAGCTTGTACAATCTTTGCTGTTAGTGGATGTCAAATAAAATGAGATAATCAATGTCTATCGTGTTTTATTTTTCCACCGAAGTATTTTACGTAAATACATGTTAAAAAAGCATTTTTCTACCGCCCACGTTTTTTGGTTTTCTAATAGAGCTATTAACGCACGCAAATGACGTCACAGCAGTTCGTTAATAGCGGAAAGGTGTTCTTTAATTGATCTGGTGTAATTTAGATCTGTAAGATTGGTAGCAATGACGAGAAATGTCAGGTGAATGTCAGTGGCAAATCTAAACTTAAAATTTCCCATGTTTCCGGACGCGTAACTTCTTCGCAAGACATTTTAACCAATTTTAAATTACAAAAACTCGAATTGGTTCGAGTTACACTTGTTGTTGTGAAAATTCGAACCTCAAATATTTCGTGGTTAGTGTCAGACCGACCCATCACCAACCACGACAAAAGTCCCCAGATTAAAAAAAATGCAAATTTCAATTAAATTTTAGGAAAAAACGTGTGCGGTAGAAAAAATAGTATAAATAACTCGTTCATAAGGCCATTGAGGCACTCATCCTTTATATAACTCGCGGCTTCGCCGCTCGTTCTATAAACTTGGATTCGTGCCTCAATATTTGCCTTATGAAACTCGTTCTTTAATATACTATTATCCATCAAGAAAACATAAAAACGAAGTATTTGCACACGGCGGTTTTGTTTTGTGGTTGTAAAAATGATGATTAAAATGCGACTTCTGTAAAAGTTGTAAAGAACGAAACTCTGCGAGTGCCGTATTGCCTGATTTTGGACAACATAATGCAATTTAGAAATTGAGAAATATGCTTCTAAAAATAAAAGTTAGGCTTAAATAATATGAACAAAAAAATATAAGAGCTTTGCAACTTGGTAAATAATAATTCTCTGCAGAAAAATTAATGTTAAACCAGGTAAAAACAGCAGGTGTTAACACAAATAGCTTTTGACGACTTTGGATAGGTTTCTGGATGACCAAAACACTTTTTGATGTTAGCAGTGACTATGTATTTAACATCTATACTCACTGATGTTAGTTTCAAAACTTTCCGCAGTCTTTTATCTTGATAGAATACAAAAAAACGCAATGGTGGTGGATATAACACACAGACGACTAAATACCTACAATACCGCCCATAAGTATTTAGACACCTCTGTTTATTGATTTTTTTTCACTTTAATAATTTTTTTGAAAATCTAATTCACTGTGGTGGGACATATTGTTATTTTTTGACGATTGCTCTATTCGCAGTACCTAACAAGTGCGTGTTAACAATCAAGACACAAACTTTTAAAGATATTTTTTTGTTTTTGTCATTTTAGTTAAAAAAAATTATTCGCAACGTTAACGTTATAATGAAAATATAAGGCAAAACCAACTAATCAAAGCTTAATTCGAAGCAAAAAGTATATCACACCTAATATGTATATATTAAGATAGATACCTGCAATTAGTAATGTATCATTCTTTTGATTAAGAGCAGCAGATTATTTCTTCATTTAAAAAAATGCAGCCGTGCCAGAATACTGAAAAATCTTTCTTTTTCTAAAAACGTATATATAACTTGAAACTCGATTTCGCCAAAACTTTTTAAGTTGCAAAAGAGAAAGATATACATTAAAATAACAATGAAGATACATAGGCACTCTACCACTTTTGTCTGCACCGAAAAACTTCCACTGCGCTCTTTGAAGCTCCTAATTTTTTCCGCTTGCGCAGTTTTCGAAATGCTTCGTATCATATTCTACAGGTGCTTATTTTTTTTCCCGAGAATTTGAATTTACTTAGATTGAACAAATGAATTTGAACTCAAATTGTAGAATCTATTTTCTTATTAGTAACCTTTTATGAAAACTGTCTTATTTTTATAATGCTTTTGAATTTCGAGGACCCAACACGAACGTTAATTTTCCAAACGTTTAATTGTTTTGTTTTTTTTTCAGGTGGACTGAGTGCAAAACTTTGTGGCAGGCTCAGGGTGTGTCTAAAGAAACGACGGAAAATTGTGCGTCACAAAACATAAATTTCGAAGCAAAACTAGAAGAAGCCCATAGTTTAATAGAAAAAGTTAGAGCAACACTAAGGGATATAGGTAAAGGCATACCGAAGAGCTCAGAGCAAAATAATATGCCATCAATAGAACAAATAAATGCAAATGATCAAAGCTTACGTACAACATGTTCATTCCCCGGAGAATGTCTACTTAAGAATGCGATATCTAATAGTCTAAGTGAAGAAAGACAGGCTCTCAAATCACAAGATAAGGAAAAAAAGGAAGATGAGTCATTACAAAGAGGCTCCAAAAAAGATGTCAGAGCACAAGACGGTACAGTGAAGGAGAAACACTTAAGGAATGAAAGCTCTACGAAAGAAAAAGTAATAAAGAAAGTTGACAGTCTACAAAAAGATGGTACGAATGAAAAGGAGATAAAAAAAGATGATAAAATACAACAAAAAGGCAAAAAAAAGATGGGAACAAAAAGAGATAAAAGTCCACGAAAAATTAGTACCATGACAAAAAAGACTGATAAAAATAAAGAAAAAAAGTTACTAGAAGAAAAACGTGAGCTATGTAAAAATAATCGACACATTACTGTAAAAGAAGAAATAGAATTAGAAGCAAAGCCGGAAAAAGCTGATCTCACGAACGAAAGCAATTCTACACCCACCGATAAGAAAAGTGAAACGTTAATACCATTAGCAACGGAAGCAGAAGAAAACGACCCAAAGCAGATCATAACTATACAGAGTGTAAAACCTATGCTATCCGATGATGATTTTACAAATAAGTCTGACGGTGTTTCTCAAAGTATGGATTTATTACAAGAGAAATTAAAGGTTATTTCAGAAGAAGATACTGCAGTTCCAGGTATCTATTTTTTATAAAATGGATAGGAATAAAAATAGAAAATATTATAATTGTCATAATAATCACATAGGATCTTATCTACAAATCGTTTAAAAACTTTAGCCATACTACCACGGTACAACAGAACAAAATTTAGGTTAAACATGTTAATAAAAATATCGGTTTTTGCATGATAAAATATTTTCAAAAGATTTGAAATAGTTATTAACATTACAAGCGCCGAAAGTACCGAGTAGCAGAACGAGCGAGAGAGAATTAACGCTTTACTAATGTCAGATGCTATTTATCATTTTCAGGTATGACAGTACAAAAAATATATTTCTTAAGATTAAACATCTACTAAAATATGTGTTAACAAAGTGATCTAACGTTATTCAGACAAAATTTCCTTCACTCTAACAAATCCAGCTTTTTCAAAAAATTATAAAATTTGATTTGTCGAAATTTTACTTATATTATGATAAGTAAAATATAGATAATGCCAGTCACAGTGTAAGAAAAAAAAGTGGCCATGAGAACATAGAATCGGCGAACTTCCCGTGCTTCGCATTAGATTACACTACGATGCGCTCACCACTGGTCTGTTATGGTTGCGTTGCTCTTTTGCTGTTATAAAATGTTATTATAATAAGTTGGATTTTTTTGAAAAAATTTTGATACCTAGGGTAAAAACTCAAGGTTCATTACCCCCAAATGTAGGAGTGTCTTCTTTTATAAAATGCAAAAACATTTACTATGTAAAATTTTTAAGTGATGTCTTCACATTATCGGTAAGGCTAATTGGAAAAATTTGGTTAGCGTTTTATCTGCAGATATTTTTAAAATACGTACAAAATTTGACAAGAAACGGTCCAGTAGTTTGGGAGATTATCTGTCTAATAAAAATTTACATAAACGACGGACAGACAGACGGCAAATGAGAGGCAAACAGAAACAGGAGATCTATTTTTTTTATAGTCTAGGAGTCATAAATCGTGGAGAAAATCTGAAAGTAGTTGTCCGCCGGATGCACTGCCTTGAAATACTATACGTAAAATGCATCACTTTACGTCTGCTGATCTGTAGTGATAGAATCATAGGTAGGATTCTATGTGATTAATGCTATGAAATGATGTTCCGTTTTTAAAATATAAACTGGCTTTGCCTACTTCTAAGTAGTAGTTGATATTCGAAATAATTTTTTTCTTGTTTTTAGTGAGTCGAATGGAACGAGGTAGTAGTCCAATAAACTTTCTGGGTGATGCCAACAGCCAACCGGATCAATCTTTTAAAGTCCGGATACATAAAAATGATCTTGAATGCATTTTGCCTTCGGTCGTAGAGCATAACTCACAGTCTGCAAACAATGAAGTCTTCAAAGACTTGAAAGCGAATCATGTTGACACTGATGGTGAAATTCCTAAATTGACCGAAAATAATCTCACAAAAGCGGCCAATAAAACATATCCCTCAGGCAGTACATCTGCATCTCTGCATGATACGATAACATCGAATACAGGTTCATTTGAAAGAATATCGGAAAAATCGAGCGAAAAATGGACGAAAGCAACGAGATTGTCAATCCAAAAGATGCCTCCAGTAAATATTCGAGGGGGCTTAGTTATGCAAAAGACCCTACACTTATGCATAAAACCATCCGGCAGTGTAACCAATGACGTAGGCAAAAATCGGGCAAACATTGGTTATAAGGAAATTACAATGGTTTCAAACACAAGTTTAGCATCTGGTAGATGCCCAGATGATTGTAAGAATATAGAAGGCGGTTACTGCAAGAGTAATATTTATAAAGCAAAGAGTGTATTTAAAGATATAGGAAGCGTTGAGAAATTAGATAGGAGAACCATAGCTGCATTAGATGAAGATACATATAAATTATATAAATCGTTTCAGATTTTTGACGGTAAATATGAAAGCGGAAGGAATGAAACGTTAGACACCTTAACTACAACTAGAAAACCTGATCAAATAAACCCTATGGAGAGTAAAGATACAGTTATGAAAATGTCATCAGTATTTAAACAGAATAGAAGTAGTGTACGTCCTTATTCCCCAAGTGTGAGCGATTCCCTTGTTATAACTAAAGCAAATAAAAATCCGTGGGCTATCGGATTCTATAAATCGAAAGCAACGCAGTGCAATGACCTTAATAATTCTATACGATCACCACGAAAATTACCGGTATCTGAAAAAAGCTATAAGACGGCATTGCCCGTACAAGATATTCCACCTAAACCTCAACAGAAGTTACATAAACATATATTAGTTGAATTAGATACGGAAAGTGACGTACCTACAGACATGCCTGCAGATGTACCTACTCTAGAAAAATCAAATGTATCTACTCTAGCTTCAGAAGATGTTAAACCAGATTGTCATTTTGAGGAACAAGAAATATCGACTCATTCATTAGAAACGAGTTCTGTAGACATGGCGACATCGCAAAGTGCAACACGTCCAGAGTCAACGAGGACTAATACCACGGAACAAGACTCTTCTTTGGAAGAAAATGCTAACGACACCTCAAGTTCGCATCGAAACGTTAATGAAAATGTGGAGAACAAAGTTTCTGAAGAATCGGCTCCAAAATTTCAAACCATAAGTGTGGGTGACATTCTTACTGCTCTTCAAGACTACCCTAACGACGAGATGCTCAGTAGTTCGAAAGATTACGTCAGTGACGGTTTTCAGATCAAGGAAAAAACTGAGTCAGTTTTGGATAAACCACTTGTTCCAGAACTGCCCATTAACAAAAAAAAAGACGAAAAAAAGGAAAAAACAGTGAAGTCGGCGCACGATTTTAGTAGCAGCAGCAGCAGTAGTGGAAGTAGCTATTACATTCATGGCAGTCTCACTAGTCCACAGCGGAAAGCTGCTTCCATGACACCACCGGCGGCAACTTCTGCAACGAATCAACCAGCTCCATCCATCTCGAGTGCGAAACGTCCACAAGATCCATCAGATGAAAAGATAGACAAAAAAAGTTCACTGAAAAACAGTGAATTTATAAATTCATTAAAAATCGCTCCAGACGAAGTAAAAAACGAAGACTTTAATCGCGATAATAATAAAAGGAAAGGACCCAAAAAGTCCGATAAAGTCGAAGTAGAACATGAAGTATCTAAAGAAGTTAAACCCCCAATCCCCCTCGGACAAAAAGTGGACGAAAGTATTCAAGTTTCCTTGGAGTCATTGGAAAGTGATTCGTCTACCGACAGTAGTTTCGAGGAGGAAAGAGAACGGGCAAACACTATAGCTTACTTCATAAAAGGTTTAACAGGAACTTCACAAGAGCAATTAGAGAAACTCCGTAGTAATCCAAGTTTTCCCAAAACTGATCTGCAGACCTATTCTAAAAGTGCCTTAAAATTATCTGTTCCAGATGTCCGCTCAAGTTACATTAAAATGTCCGAAACATCGAAAACTAAAAAAGATGATGAAAAAAGAATGCCCTCTGCTGATACCGAAGAAGAAGTAGAAACTCTTGATTATGTTAAACCGTCAATAGCAATTGTTTCATCGGATGATGATTTATCAGATAAAACAAAATTGCAGCGCTTGAAGCAATTTCAGAAAATGCAAGGATCCGTGCAACACGGAGGCGATAAAAATGAAAAAACTGTAATGAGAGTGACAGCAGAAAAAAATAATTCAATAGAGGGTGAACACTCTCATATGTTGTCGAAGAGACACTTACCTTTCTACCGACGTGTACTCGGTCGAATAATCGAACCTAATTCGAAAAGACCAATGCCAAAGTCACTCAGTGACGCACATCCGGTTGAAGAGTCGATTTCTGAAGGAGAAATTAAGTGCAGAAATAGTCAGAGTATAGGAGAAGTTGGTTCGTATAAATATATTGACAGAAAGAAGATCGGTAAAGCCGGGGTTAAATATCTCAAAAAACACTTGGATGAGGTAAACAGAAAAGAAACGGGAGACCAATCTGTTAGAATTGCTAGGCAAAGAGCGCAATACAACAATTGGGTAACTTATTATTTACAGAAACAGCATAACGTTTCGTTAAACGATGATAGTAGTTTTTCCTCTTCTGTTAATAAAGCTGGGAAATAAGCAACAGTGTTGTAAAAATTATGTGTAATTGTATGATAAAACTTTCTTTTATAATGTGATGTTCTCTTCTTCTTTCCTAGCCACTTTTTACAAATTCTTCCTAAGAAGATGGCTACTACTCCTATTAGGATCACTATTATAACAATAGTAGTGACCTCGTGCATCGAAAGTTTACTATTTCCCGCTGCGGAGTTCCGGATGTCACCTGCATTGCTATTGATCACAATATTCTCCTTGGACTGCTTTGAACCCCCATTCTGCACTCAAAATACTATTGCCGTATTAACACTCTTTTTTTTTTCCTCGATTGGCAGGGTCGCCATGTGATGTCCTCTTTTGACGACACGACGGTGGTCGGTTAATATTTACTATGAATTTATTCACCCCGATCACCACTACAACCCACTTCTTGCTACTACATACAAACCCCCGAGTTAGTACTAACTGATTTTACATATCACATACACTTTTATACGGAATGGGACTATTTGGCGCGGCCGACTTGGCGCGGCCGACTTGGCGCGAGCCATTTTGGCGCAAGGCCAACTTGGCGCAGGGACACTTTGGCGCAAGCAATCTTGGCGCGAGCCATCTTGGCGCGAGTACGTCGGTATATAATGTAAAAAATATTTATTTTTTGTATCGTGGTTTGCACCCTGTTATTTATGCTAAGTGTAGGCAACCAAATACACAGTTTCATTCGCACAAATTCCAATAACTAAATGATCCACGGAGCAAGAAGTTCCACGTTTAGGAGTATGTTTATAATGGGGTGCAGGGCGCGAAGCGCCCGTGTGTCCATTAAAAAGTCGCCATTACCCCTCCACGCATTGGAGACCCTAAAAAATTAGGTTATGCTAACAATGGGTACAATTTTTGTATAATTATATCCATTTTTCTTGGTGCGAGTTCATTCGCGCCAAGATGGTCCACGCCAAGATGGCTTGCGCCAAAGTGTCCCTGCGCCAAGTTGGCTTTGCGCCAAAATGTCTCGCGCCAAGTCGGCCGCGCCAAGTTGGCCGCGCCAAGTCGGCCGCGCCGAATTGTCCTAGACCGACTTTTATACATTATTGACGACCTAGTTCCTTGTAATGCACAAGCATTTGCTGACTAAAGAATTCCAGCTTACAGTTACAGTAATGGTTTTCTTGGTATTATTTTATTTTTGGGTATGTTGAAAAACAGGAGAGTATGAACACAGTACAGACAATGCTTATGTTTATTTTTATGTGCAACTAAGGAAGATATAGACCGTGTTACGGAATTGAATGCAAAAAATTTAACCCATAATAGAAATCATTATTAGCGTAAATTTTTCTATGTAATATTTTTTTTCCAAATTCTACCCTTTAAGAATTAAAGTTGAAAATACATTGGACTATGAAAATCGCCACCCGTCTAAGTGTAATTGACACCAACATTCTTCTTCGTCGATGCAACAAAAATCATCCGCGCTTCACAAAAACGTACGGTTATATCAGGTAATAAGCTTGTTTTGCGCGAAATAAAGTCACCTATTTTACGTTACACGGTTTATTTCGAGGGGTAAACCGCCGACCATCAAGTGTACAATTGATTTCCTCTGATTTCCTTTGATTTCCTGTGATTTCCTTTGATTTCCTGTGATTTCCTTTTGATTTCCTCAAAATTTGTTTACATAATGTACTACAGGGCGATTGTTAACTTTTTTTTAACTTGACTTTTTTGTTTTGCCGATAATGATGTTGAATTTAAACCTTTTTTTACCAAGTGTTTACAAACGTACGGTGACTAGGTAAGCTGAAGTGCTTTCCCTTTAAACGAAAAAACTTCTTAAAAAATACTTACCCCATAACCTGGGTCGAGATTTGTGTATATATTGTAGATGATGTTGAAGTAAAAAACTGTGCTAAATTCTAGCTACCCATAAATACAGATGATAACACTTTTAATTTTTTGTTCACAACTTTCAAATGAAGCATATTACAAAAAAACTTTTGAAATGCAAATTTTAAAACGTAAGAATTTTTTTTGCACAATGAAGGAGTGGATAACCCCACTTGATAAATTTTCAGAGGTAATTTTCCCCTTTAAAAGTGTTCATGGGCACCTAGAATTTTGCACAATTTCTTACTTTAGTATTTTCTACGATATAATATACTTGTACAAATCTCGACCCAGGTTAGGGTTACGTTATCACAAATTTTAATCACATCACTTAAAAAAAACTAGAATTAAATCAAATATTTTTTCAATCATTTTTTTTCAAAAACTAAACTGCTTCTTCTGAGTACCTGAGGTGGAGGTAGTTTCATTATATATTCATTTTCTTGGATCTTCCCCTGATCTTTAATGTCCGGAAACATAAAAGCATCCGGAATTTTTGGATTCCTTTTCAAAAAATCACAAAAAATAGGGTTAAGTGATGACACTTTACCAATGAAACATTTTTTGTTTTGTTTTTGAGTTGTTAATTGTACTATAATATAATCGTCTATAGTCTTTGCCATTTCTACTGAAATCCTGTTAATCGTAAATTTGGCAAAGTTCATATTCAGACAATTTTCGAATTAAAAACCGTTGTCAATCAACCGAAAGCTGTTACCAATTGCTAAATTTTAAGCAAAATCAACAGGTGGTGTTTCAATAGAAATGGCAAAAACAATATATTTAAATCTGGTTTAGAACGATCAGTCTTACTATTTTCAGCCTTGAGATTCAAACGAGGATTCAAAACATCACAATAATTGGAAGAATTCAAATTTTCGGTGTCCGTGCTGTCATCATATTCGATACTACTTGGGTTGTCTAAATCAGATGAGTTACTTGATATATTATAGCGTCTTTTTTGTTTTCCAATTTAGACTGGTTTTTGAATTTGAGATGCATCTTTATGTTGAAGGCAGGTATCTGTTTCTGAGTTAACTCTACCACTATTACATTTCTTATTTTGAATAAATCTTTTGAGACGATCCACACTGACGCGATCCTTTTCATTGTCTAACAGCCAGCAAAGTGAAGACTTTTTTATAACTTTTGTTGTATTATCTAAGCGTATGCTGACTAGATCACCTGTCTCAACAAAAATATCGTCATTATCAAAACTTCTAAGGTGTATGTCTCTGTTAAATTGTGCAAAGATCATTCAGTAAATCTTCATCTTGGTCAACTGGATCGTTTTCCAAATTTTGAAAACAGTTACGTTTCATGGCTATTTGAGAATTGTTGTAATTTTCAATGTGATCGCACTATTCTTCACTAAACATTTCATCTTCAACTTCGTCATTGCATTCATTGCCTTTACACGGAGGCAAAAATACATAGTTGAAATCTTCACTTTCATTCCTAAATCTTCAGTGTCACGCAGACAATCCCGTAAAGCTTATTCTACGGTGTTTTGTATATCTTTATCTGAAATGTTTCCTAAGTCATCATTTTTCACAAAATCTCTCTTCATGATTGAACTTTTTTTCCTGATTTCTCTAGGAAAAACGAAATTTTTTATCCAAATCGTTTTTAATGTTGTTTATAGTTTGCAGTCTGTCACTTCGATGCAACATATCTCTTATACTAAAATTAACAATTGTGCTAAAAGTTGAGGTCATTGATCTAAGGCTTCTAAACATACTCTCACAAGTTTGAGAGCTAAACTTCCAAGGCAAGAACATATCATCAGTAAGATTACTTTTTTGAAAAATTTTAATTATTTTTATTAATGCGTGTCCATTGAGTTCAACGCATGTGTAGCAATTGGAAGATAAAAAGTTATCTTTTACTGTATACTGTCTTTGGTCCTTAATTCATTTTTTCCGTATTCGTAGGAAAAATATGCAATACCAAATGTTATATATCCTTTCTACAACAGATAACGTTTTGTCCAGGAATGCTGCCGATATAAGATACATTAGTTTCAAATAAGCTGTTGTTCCTGCACTATTGTCAATGTTGTCGGCTATCATTTTTCTTACTTCAGGGCTACACATTTTTTCTGCCGCTGCATAGTTCATTTTGTCTTCTGCTTTCAAATCCGTTATTGTTAGCATATGTTGATCTTTGGTGTACTTTTTTACTAATATTTCAAGGTGAGCAACTGTAGCAACGTAATTCCCTAGAGGTAATATTGAGTCCGATTTTTAAAACCTTGTTCTTAACTTTGTGATAATATGTACAGTCTAGTTGGCCATGGTACAGTATCTTGGGCATACGATGTCAGATCGCTGTCACTGAAACCCATTTGGTACCATTCCCAAATATTCAAATGATTTTCGTCGGATGAAATAGGTAGGCGAGGATTTAAACGCATCGCTTTGAGAAGTCGCGTGTCTCCATCAGAAGAAAAACCTAGAATTGAAATTCCATACTTTTGGGCATCTTTCTGCATAATAGCAAATCTTTTTTTGACGTCTTGATAAGTAAATTTATTGTCGGTCCCAAAAATGGTGAGGCAGTACGGAGGAGAATAATCAGATAGGGGTGTGCCACAATTATGTACGCATAATGAGCTTTCGTTCAATTCTTGAAGCACTCTTGAATAGTTTAAGCGGAAGAAGCTATGTAATGGTTTGTTTCCGGTAGCCCATTTCTTAAAGGAAGCACAAATCTCACCATTTTAGTAGATCGAGAGTCATATTCTATGCGACCCGTTATTCGAGTCGCATCATCACTGATCCAAACAAATTTCTTTAAATTTCTTTCTTCTAGGAATAATTTTAATCCTTGGAAGTCCATAACACCTTCGTCCAGTTTTGTACTATTTTCAGCAATGTACCTATTTAAAGAAGATATTGTAGGAATGACTTTTGGTAAATTCGATTGCAGCGTTTCATACAATAGACGACCTCCTATGTAGTAGAGGTATAGGCAAAACTTTTTTAAAGTGGCGTTATACTTATTCTGATTACTTGATTTTGACGCATTTTTTGATGAAATGTCATGGAGCATTTGGAGAAATTCCTTTATTAATATTAATATTATTATTATTATTATTATTATTAAGTGAATATTCTACAGGGTGAGACCCCAATTATAGAATATTTTATAGTCTAACCAAAGTATCCTAAAGTTTACTGTAATCAAAACCACGTACTTCTCTAAGCGATGATGAAAAGAGATCTACTTCACGATGGAACACATTACCGATTCTGCACATGGTAAACATCGGTGAAAACTTAGCAATATCCGTTCTTGGGACTGGCAAATAAAACAGATCATAATAACGGGACAGGGCACTGCGCGAACTCACATTAAATGTAATTTGTGATAATAGGATGGGACAATCTACACCATTATGAAGAAGTTTAAATAGAAAAACCATGTAAAATCTTTTACACGTATTCAAAAAGCTGGTAAAATTATATCTATTTAATAAATCCTGCTGAGGCATACCAATTGGAGGATACACTCCGTCTTCCCGATAAGACAAATACTTCAAAAATTTGCGGATGATACGTTCCAAATTAGTGACATAAATGTTATGATGGGGGCACCAGATTAAACATGCATAATATAATTTGCTTTCCAAAAAGGATTTAAAAAGTCGTGTGATGGTGTGAGCATTTTGAAAATCTCTAGCATTTCTTATTATAAAACTTTATCTTTGGCCTTTCTGTATCTGGAAGTTTTTCTGTTTAATTTCTATCAAAATTGTAATATATGCTTTCTGTTAAATTAAATGTTAATTTGTTTTCACAGTTAACGTTTTTAACTTGTTCTATTATGGGGAAAAAGTTGGTTAATAGTTGTTGTTTTTCACATCTCTGTCCTCGTCGTAGCTACGGGGGGGCAAGATGGGGCTGAGCCCCCCCTAGCAGTTGTGGTTGCCCCCCCTGGAAGACTTACACATTAAAAATTTCAATTTAGTAATAAAATTTCAATTTAGTAATAAAATTTCAATATAATGCCGATTGCTGAAGCATATTTACTAGCCCCACCCACCCGCCCTTTATTTTCTTACAGGGTATATTATTTGGCAATATCACCCTAACGTTAATGTTGACCGTATAAAAAAAACAACTGCCATGTTACATTTTATTCCATAGCCTACTACTAAACATGCAAAAAAATAAATATTACGAATAAAGAGGTACGTGCTCGTAGAAGCTTTAATGAACTTTAGGAAATACAACGCAAAAATACAGAATACAAAAAAACGACAGCTCATTACTTTTTTTTACAATTATTCATGTGTTCTTGTTTGTTATCCCTCGACCCGGGGTTGTGCTAGATCTAGCCGCTCCGTGAAGGAACCATGCTTTATACTTACTAGATCCTTGGTGAAGATGTCACCAATCATATCTTCCGAAGGGACATGTTGCATAGTGTTGTATATTAACTTTTATAGGAAATCTCTATTTGTTTAAAGTTGTTTATTCTACGATTCTTCATACATTCAAGCGTACAAGTCTTAAACCTAACCTCATTCTTCTACTTATCGCTAAAGCTGGCTTTATCTCTTTTTTCTCGTAAAGCCGCGCTTACACTACACTACATATCTCCCCCCTGAGTCAACCTACATGTTTCCTAATTAATACCTTATCCATTCATTTGCCTGCCATCGTGATGGGGGTTTTTTCGTTCGGATAGGTCGGTTACTCTTTTGATTAGATTCCGCGTTCACGTGCTGACCAGATGTTTCAGGGATTGACTCGTTTGGGATACAGGGATCTGGTTGTGTTGGGTTATGGCGTGTCTCGACGTTAGTAGAGCTCGTGGTCTCCTTTACTGTTTCCTTGTCTGATATAATTGCTGGAACCTTTGACGTTGTTAATGCCTTTCTTATAATTTTTTCTGTTCCTTTACCGTCAGATTCTGTGTCTGTCGGTATGATTGTTTTCATTTGATCCACATGTCGTTTTGTTACCCTCCCGTTTCCGATGATTTTGCACAAAAACATTTTTTGGCCAATTGTCTGAGTAACTTTGGCTTCCATCCACGCCTTTTTGTTGGTATCTTTATAATCTCTGATTGCCACTACTTCGCCTATTTGAAATTTCGTTGTTCTTGGTGTTTTCCGCGTGTCGTAACTTATTCTCTCTTCCTGCGGTTTAATCAAATTGAATAAAGTTCTGATGTTTCTATTCAGCATCCGGAAAGCAGGAGTTTCATTCGTTGTGGCGTGTTTTGCGTTCCTATAATGAATTAGATATCGGCTTACGAGAATGTCGGTGCGGGTGTTCTTATTTCGTTTGTCAAAAAGAGCGGTTTTCAGCCCTCTTTTAAACGATTTCACTGCGTTCTCTGCTGCACCATTTGATGCCGGATGATACGGTGCTATGGTTACATGGTGTACTCCATTATTTCGTAAAAATTGTTCGCAATCTCGTGAAACTAGTTGCGTTCCGTTGTCTGAGACTATTAACTCCGGGATTCCCCATCTGCAGAATGTCTCTCTTAGTTTGCGTATTGTTGTATCCGCAGTTATGTTTGGGACTTCGTATATTTCTGGCCATTTGCTGAATGCGTCCAGCATTAGAAAATAATATTTACCGTTTATCGGGCCTAAATAGTCGATGTGCACACGTTGCCAGGGTCTTGTAGCTTTGTTCCATGGCGTTGGAATCGCCTTTTGGGGATCATCAGACGTCATGATGCACGCCCTACATGACTTCGCTACCTTTTCTATGTCTTCGTCTAATTTTGGCCACCAGAAATACGATCTTGCGATTGCTTTCATTTTTACAATGCCTAAATGTGCCCCATGGAGCTCGTCGAGGAGTCTTTTTCGTAACTTACTTGGTATTATCACCCGATAACCCCATAATAAGCATCCTTGTTCGCATGTGATTTCTGTTTTTCTACATGTGAAATGTTTCATATTTTCCTCTTTTACGTTCGTCGGCCATCCGTTTGTGACATATTCTAGGACCTTAGCCAGGACGGGGTCCCTTCTAGTTTCTATACCAATTCTTTTTGAATCTATTGGAATCCCTTCCGTCACAATCAGGTTCAACTGGTTGCTTGACTCTTCCTGATTTTCTTCTTCTTCAGTTGTCTGTAGCGGATGCCTTGACAACATGTCCGCGACATGATTTTCTTGCCCTTTTATGTATTTAATGTCATAGCTGAAACCTGCCAAATGTAGCATCCATCTTAGCATTCTACTTGAGTAGGACTGAGAAATTCTCTTGTTCATCGCGAAGACTGATACTAATGGTTTGTGGTCAGTTTCTATGACAAACTTGTTTCCCATCAGATAATATGCTAATTTTTTAGTAGCCCAATAAATCGCCAAAGCTTCTTTGTCGATTACGGCGTAGTTGCTTTCTGCTTTGCTTAGCGTTCTTGAGATGAAAACAATCGGTTTTTTTCGACCAGTATCTATTTGGTGTGATAATACGGCCGCAATACCGTCCTTTGATGCGTCGGTTGTGAGTACTATTGGTAGAGTGGGGTCGAAATGCGTTAACACCTCGTCTGACGCGATTATCGCTTTTATTTCCCTAAAAGCTAGACTACATTCCGCGGACCAGCGAAATTGTACGTTCTTTTTTAGCAGATTATAAATAGGTTTCATTAATATCGCTAATTTTGGTACGAACTTGCTATAATAGTTGACCATTCCTGCAAAACTTTGAACCTGTGTCATTGTTTGCGGTGTTGGGGCATCTAGTATCGCCTTGACTTTTTCACTGTCTTTTCTTAGACCTTCCTTGGTAACTCTTAGACCTAAAAATGTTGATTCTTCCTCAAAAAATGTACATTTCGACAATTTAACTTTTAATCCCGCATCTTTTAGTCGTTGAAACACCTTGCGTAAAGTATCTATGTGTTCCACCCTTGAGTTTCCCGTGATGATAATATCATCCATAAAGTTTGCTGCTCTATCTATGCCTTGAAGGACTTGTTCTAAGGTTCTTTGGAAAATCGCACTGGCGGGCGTTATTCCAAATGGGATCCGTTTCACCCGGTATAAACCTTTGTGTGTGTTCCAAGTGAGTATTTTTGACGTTTCCTCGTCTACCACCAACTGGTTATACGCGTTGCTGAGATCAATTCTAGAAAACGACTCGCCTCCGTTTAACTTTGAAAACATTTCTTCGAGTGTTGGTAAAGGGTATTTGACCTCTTCGAACCATTTATTTGCTGTGATTCGGTAATCGCCACACAATCTAAGGGTTCCATCCTTTTTCATCACTGGTACCAATGGCGTGGCCCATTCACTGGATTCAATCGGCTCAATAACACCTTCTTTTTCCAAACGATTCAATTCTGTTTCGACTTTTTCTTTGTATGCAAGAGGAACGGTGCGGGGTTTAAGGAAAATAGGCCAGAATTGGTCTTTCAATTTTAACGTGAATGTGTGTTGTTTGAAACAACCTAATCCGTCTGAAAAAACCTCCTGGAATTCGTTAACAATATTAGTTTCGCTAACCGATAAGACTTCATTTTTTTCGTCAAATTCTGAAACTAATTCGAATTTAAATTTGTTTAAAAAATCTCTCCCTAGCATACTTTGTTTACCGTCTCTTTTGTCGATAACGAAAAAAACGAAATTTTCACATTTTACATTTTTGTACTGTATACATGCGTTGAAAGTACCCAAAACTTTTATTGGCTGCCCTGAATATGTTTTTAACTGCCTATTATTATATTTTAACTTGGCACTTGGCCAATAAGATTTAAAATCTTTTTCTGAAATTATTGATGTACATGCGCCACTATCTACTAACATTTGTATTTCCTTATCACTAATATTGACGTTACAATAAACTGGGCTGTTATTAACAAAACTAATGCTATTTACGCCTGTTTCTACCAAATTTTGTTTATTTTTATTGAAACATGCCTTTGCTAAATGTCCCACCTTTTTACAAATGTTGCATGTGTAATTTCTGTATTTACACACCTGTTGGCCAGTATGGGTTCCTGCACATCGCCTGCAGTTCCACTTCCCTCTCTGGAATGGCTGGAATGTGTTCTTAGATGTTCTTGCCTCATTATTGTTTGTTTGAGATTTCCCTTCCTGTTGTGTATCCTTTTTGGTCTGTGGCACCCTTCTTATTGTGTTGACGGAGTCACTCTGGCTTTGTAGAGCTGCTTCTCTTGCTTGTGCAATCTCCACTAGTTTCTGTAATGTTGTGGTTGGGGACTCTTCACACAATCTGTCTCGGATGACACTCCTTTTCATAGCACAGATGAATTTGTCCTTTAGCACAAACGTGAGCTCGTTTCCAAACTCGCAGTTTCCCGCTAGGTTGTGTATTCTAGCGTACCATTCTTTTACCGTTTCATTGTCTTGTTGTTGTGCTTCGTAGAACTTAATTCTTTCCCTGAAAATACATGTACTGGGTGAAAATTGTTTCTTTAGCAGAGTACACAATTCTTCATAGGTTTTATCCTTTGGTAACGCCGGTGTACAGAGATCTCGTAGAGTTTTGTAGGTTTCTTTTCCTATCAGGCTCAATAAAGCTGGCACTCTTTTCTTCGACTCTGTTTGACCCTCTGTTGCTGGGGTGTCTACTATTCCATTTACGTTAAAAAATTCCTCCAGCTGCTCTTGGTACAATGTCCAATTGTCCACTTTTGGATCAAAACTATCGATAGAACCGATCAGCGTCATCTTCTTGTTGCGTCACCACGTGTAACATAATGATTGTTTTTGGATTTACCCGTCTTCTGCCGCGTTTTTTCTATTTTCTCCGATTTTCCTCGTCGCCAATGTTGTATATTAACTTTTATAGGAAATCTCTATTTGTTTAAAGTTGTTTATTCTACGATTCTTCATACATTCAAGCGTACAAGTCTTAAACCTAACCTCATTCTTCTACTTATCGCTAAAGCTGGCTTTACCTCTTTTTTCTCGTAAAGCCGCGCTTACACTACACTACACATAGTTAATGAGTCATTCTTCACCACTTCTCTGATGTAGTGATGTCTAAGGTCGATGTGCTTACTCCTCGCATGATAGACCGGATATTGAGCCAGTCTCAATGCGCCTTGGTTGTCACTGAATAGCACCATTTGTGACAACTGTGCGAACCCTAACTCCAGCAGGAACTTCTGGATGAAAGTGACTTCCTTGGCTGCTTCTGTTAATGCTATGTATTCAGCCTCTGTAGATGATAATGCCACAGTTTTTTGTTTCCTGGAGTCCCATGGAATGGGTCCCTCTGCTAACATGAAGACGTATCCAGTATACGATTGTCTGTCAATAGCACAGTTTGCCCAGTCGGCATCTGCGTAGCCTCTTACAGGATCGGGGCAGTTTGTGTACACAAGACAATATTCGGAGTACCCCTCAGATATCGAAGCACTCGCTTCGCTGCTGTCCAATGGACCTTGCCATGACAGTTATTGAAATGTCCCAAGGAACTCACTGCGTGACTGATGTCAGGTCTAGTCGTGATGGCCAAATATGTCAAGCCACCTATCAATTCGCGATACGGGAAATTCTTCACTTCTTCAGCGGTCGTTGGTTTGACGAGTTTTGTCTGCGGATCCATGGGAGTCCAACTTTACTTCCGGTCACGACGGTATTCCGGTTTTTTTTATTGGTTGTACCATGTATTCTCCACCTCTCTTACCACTTTGTTAAAATTAATTTTGACAAAATCCACGTTTCCTAATATTTGGAAATTATCCACTATTGCTCCTATTTTTAAGAGTGGTAACAGAAATTCCGTTGAGAATTATACCCCTATATCGCTGATTTGCAATTTTGTTAAAGTATTTGAATTGGTTGTGCATAAATATGTTCTCTGTGATACTAGAATAATTGAATCTCAGCATGGATTCGTCAGTGGCGGGTTTACTTTAACTAATGTATACAAGGTGACTGCGAAATACATGCAAAAAAAAAAATGGGGAATAGCTCACAATATGATTATGTCACTGGGTAAAATTCACGGTCCTAAGTAGTAGCAGTGTCTAGAAAAAATTATTTGAAATTCAATGTAAATTGTTGTACGCGCCGCTGGACTGTTTTGTGACCTACATAATTACTACAATGAATGGAACAGAGCGAGTCGGTTAAAGAACCAAAAAAGTTACTTTATCAGGCACTTTTTTAATCGCAACGTGAAAAACACGAAAAGGGCCAGTTAGCATCGAGCGGTCGGTGAAATCGGTTTATGGTGCAGTTTTCCCATGCAGATTGTGTCGATATGGTAATGGGTGCATCAGTGGTACAGCATCTCCGAGATCATGGTACCTTCAACCTCAAACTCACGATCGTGGCCGTGATAGGACAGAAAGAAGAAGTTGGATTTTCACAGCTTGTAGTGCATCCTACATTAAAAGAATACGGCCACATCCATACCATGTTGACAAAGTGCACGGTTTGGAGTCCACTGATTGTTCACGTTGTGTAACTCACTTTTTGTCCGATGGAACTCCACGTAGTCGTCAACAAGTACGATTTCAAGAGACGGTTTTCGATAAATGTGTATCAGTTGGATGAAACAGTTCGTTTGTGGAAATCAACAGTGTCCAGAAATTATCGAAGAGCTTCAACAAGTGAAAGTGACACCCGCTACTCCGGTGTTTTTTTACCTATCAACAAACCTCTTGCGACGCTCTGACGCCTGTATTGCTAGTCAAGGACAACATTTTCAACATTTCTTGTAAAAAGGTAGTAGCATTCTAAGTTGCTCTTATTTCTGTTCCAATAAACAACGTAAAATCGTTGTGACAAGGACCAAACATCCGTCAGAATCAAAATTACCAAAAAACTTTCACACTGACCTTTAACGATGAATGAGTAAATGAATGAACGAATGATAAGCAGCAAAAAGTCGGTTTTACTTTTAATTGAAACTGAAAGTGTTTAGGTCGTTTTTATTCGAACGTTTTTCCAACTCTGTTTACAAGGTGGCTCAGTGCCTTCGTATCGAGGGTGGTTCATGGGGGTTTTGCCCCATTCGATTTTTAATTTCTTTTTTCTATATTTCGGCTCTACTAGGGTGGGGGATGCCGTGGTTAAAATATTTGCACTTATTTCGCAGTCACCCTGTATAGTGTATATAATAATTTAGGCGTGTTTACGCAGTTTATTGCGGATAGTTTTAGTGATAGACTCCAGACTGACGTGGCATTTACTGATTTTTCTAAGGCTTTTGACCAGCTTAATCATCAAATCATTTTGGTTAAACTTAGCAATTCTGGTGTTTCTGACCGCGTGATATATTTGTTCAGGTCGTACTTATTTAGTAGATCGCAGTGTGGTAAATATTGTGGATACGAATCTCGAAAGATGTGTATGTCCATGCCGTCAGGAGTATCTCAGAGCTCTGTATTGGGGCCTCTTCTGTTTGTCGTATTTATAAATGACATTGTCAAAAACAGTGATTCAAATGTTTTGTTATATACACACGACCTAAAAGTTTTCTGAAGGATTGCTTCTGTTGAGGATTGTAAATCTTCGTTCGGTGGAGTATTGCCAATTTTCTACCTGTTAATTTTAGTAATTGCCCCATAATGTATTTCTTAAATAAATCTAAGGACGTTCTCTATAATAATATGCTTAATAACAACGAGTTAGGAAGGGTTGAGTTTTATAACGACTTAGAGGGGTTACGTTTGATAGCTAACACTCTCTTGGATTCATTCTAAGATGTAAAAACTTTGAAGATCTTAAGTGCCTTCGTGCGCTATATTGTGCTTACGTGTTTCAGGCTTAAATATGCGAGCATTGTATGGACCCTATTCTCCCACATTCATATACATTCATTGGAGAAAATTCAGAGAGGTTTTTTAAAATATGACAAATAGCATTTTTTGGGCTTGTTTGATTGGGGTTCCTCATCCTATTCCTTTTCTGCAACAAATAATTTTCTTAAAATTTTCCATTATTATATAATCTGATTTTATCTACAAACTGGACCCAACTGTATGAAGAAATCGTCTGTGACAAATTTTATGAAATATTGGTTAATTTATTTGAAATGTAGTCGAATTCCTGGGAGCATACAGTACAAGGATAGCATTCTAAACATGCCGACAGAAATTGTCAATGGATTTAGTATTTCAAATCTGTTTATGCACCACATATTAATATACTTTCTAGAGAGATTTCAATAGATACAATACAAATAATAATATTGCTGTTACCAATGTCACAAATGTGAGGTCTTCCGAGCTCTGAAACAATCCAAAAATAGTTTTACATCCGGAGCTGATGGAATTCCATGTTTCACACTAAAAGATTGTACAGCAGCATCGTATTCGTTTAATTTAGTTCTTAGTAATTCTTTCTTTAGTTTCTTTAATTCTTAGTAATGGAAAAATATCATCATCTTAAAAAAGGACATGCGTCAAATATTGGAAACTATCGCCTAATAACCTTTCTCTGTAACTTCGCTAAAGTATTAGAATCATACAACAGAATTTATACGTCCATAAAATATACCATCCCATCGGAGCAGCATGGCTTCATGAAGAATCGATGAACTTTAACGGTGACAAATTTGTTACACATTACACAAGATATTTCAGAGACAATTGATGATAACGGCCAAATGGATATTATATATACGGATTTCCAAAAGGCGTTTGATAGCTTTAGTCACCAGATACTTCTGGAAAAAATGCGTCTCTATGGATTCTCTGGCCCACTATTATCATTGTTTCGACCATATTTGATAGACCGTCAGTACTGCGTAAAATTCCGTAATTGTTTATCAGAATCATTCGTTCCCACCTCCGGAGTTCCACAGGGATCGAATCTTGGACCATTGCTATTCTTGTTATTTATCAATGATTTACCAATCAATAAGTCGTACGATAAACTGTTGTTCGCAGACTACCTAAAATCGTATTATAAGATATCCTCAACTGCCGAACTCTTCAAAGAAATGTTAACACTTTATATTTTTGGTGTCAAACAAACCAAATGATTTTAAATAAACATAAGTGTTACAGTATGACATTTTCGAGGCAGAAAAATTCCATTACTCATGATTATAAAATTTCGGACCACACGATTGGAATATTTTAAAGATTCAGGAGTTACTTTTGACAAAAGATTTGTGCCACATATAAACGACGTAGTTAGAAGATCACTAAATACTTTGGCTTTTGTTCATCCGTCTTACAGAGAATTCACCGAAATTCAATCTCTAAGTAATAACAAAATATTTTTTGCATTTCTGCGCTCCAAACTAGAATATTGCGCCATTATTTGGTCACCTTTTTACAATGTGCATATCTTCTACTTAGAATCGGTCCAAAGACGTTTTCTAAAATATCTGTGTTTTAAATTGGATGACATCGAACCTGAGAGAGGCTTTAGTGAATGTATCTTATTAGCTAGATTTAATCTTAATTACTTCTATTATTTACGAACACGTAGGTTGGCAAGGCGTCGTCTTTTTGTTTAATCTTTTGCACAATAAAATTGATTGTATCTATATTAATAATAAAATGTCATATTCTCTCCCAAGGTTTAGCAAAAGATAGAGATCGTGCTTTTATTGTGACACCTGCAGGACTAACACTTTAGTAAAATCTCCAATCGTAGTTCGTGTGAAACATTCAATAATTATTATTAATTAAACCACAATCGAACAAAATGTTCTTAATATCATAATTCTTATTTTATCATTGTTATATCGAGCGTTCAAATAAAAACGACGTCAAGTTGGCTTTATAAATGTCAACGAATCATTCACTAAACCCTAAATTCACATTTACAAAGCCAGCTTGACGTCGTTTTTATTTGAACGCTCGTTATAAAGGACGTGTTCTTCACATTTTCGAGAAAATGGGGTGACTCGTTCTTAATTTGACCAATAAAAAATTGGAAGTGCTGTTCTTGATTTGACGGGCAAAAAAAGTTGGAAGTACCGGGATCCGTAACCGGGACTTCCCATTGCATTACACAGTCCACCTCCACTGAACCACCAGCCACGCTTGCGAAGCCACGTATTAATTATGTTTATCGTATGAACGATGTTTAAACAATTACAATAATAGAACACATAAGCAGGGGGATTCATAAAACACAAGTGTGGGAATATAATATTTTATGCAATGCAAGTTCTATTTATTGGAGAACATTTTGAGGAGTTGTCATCACGTTGTTGGTGGGGATTATTAGAGACATATTGGTTAGCGTTTTACAATCTACATGACAACTTTAGAACATCTTCAAGATCTCAAAGCATTCGGTTTTGCAGTTCCTGAATAAATCAATAAAATAAATTCACGCAGTCATTAATTTTTTGGGACACCCCGTATAATCAGATCTAAAAAATATGAATGGAATGATAAATCACAGGTGCAGTCTCATCATATTTGGGACATTTTAGATAGGATTTATTCGGCAAAATTTTGAGATGACGTAATCAATTTTTTTGATAAACAGATACATTTTGATTAAAAAGTTACCATGCTTACAATAACTTCAAAACGTCAAGATTTCAAAGTATTCAGTTTTGCAGTTCTTGATTTAATCAATAAAATAAATTGACTAAGATTCATTAATTTTTTTGAGTCACCCTGTATATGCAAATCCAAAAAATATGAATGGAATGATAAATGCCAAGTACAGACTGATCACATTTTGTACGACTTTTTCAGCAAAATTTTGCTGTGACGTCATCACATTATTGGTGGGGATGATTATAAAAATTTTGGTTATCGTTTTACCGTCTACATGATATTCCTAATATAAATACAAAATTTAACAACAATCGGCCCAGTACCTTGGGAGATTTTCTGCCTAATAAACTAATAACAATACTTGCTTCGCTTGCATTCGGGAAGTAAAAAGGTTATCTGAGTTTTTAAATTGTAATTAGGGTAGAAATATGTGAAAATGGTAGGCGTTTCTTTTCATTCCTATTCATTATTTTAACTTTACTTTATTCTTAGAAATATATATTACTTAATTTATTACTATTTTCTGTAACTGGGTGAAAACCCCTGTAGAAAATAAAATATATAATTATTATTATTAGACATTGATTAAATATACATAAATGTATGTAGTTAATCAATACCATTAACTTGTACATATTAGTTTTTGTATCGTTTTGTATAGTTTCTCGGAGGAGCTGGAAGAGCTGATTTATGATCCCATACATTCATACACATGAAATAATAGTTATTTATGCAACTAGTGAGTAAAGAGTATCTTTATTTCACGAGAATGAAAATTTGTCGCACGAGTCGAAGGTGAGTGCGCAAATTCGCCGAGTGAAAAAAATCACTTAGATATGGATTAAATCATAAAATTTTTGGATGCATTTTAATTTCTGACAAATGTGTCGATGAATCGTCATAGCAACGGGAGGCTTCTATGTTTTGCGTTTAAATGTCTTCCGTTAAAAAATGAAACGCTATGACACTTGTTTTCAGGTTTCTAGTGCAATGAAACAAACGTATCCTTTATAAACCGAAATTAATAAAAAAAGTTATACTTTTTTTAACGAACGTGAACAAATATTATTTATTAGTTTAGCCCATAGAATACCAGTTTTGTTTCGTGAAAAGTTCCCAACGTAACGCAAACACAATAGTTTATTAAAAGGAAAAAGGGGGGATGTCCAGATGGGCCAAATCCGTCCCTGTCTTGTACTGTTGACGGAATGTGGCGCCCTCTGACAGTTCTTTGTTCGCGTGTTTTATCGGTGCGTTGAACCTAGTCTGCTCAGTCGGTAAGTTCTTGAATTTGAAGTGTCCGCTGCAGGAGGTGGTTAAGAAAAAAACATGGCCGCAGTTGTAAGTAGTTGTGACAGTCGACGAAAATAAAGTAAAGCAAAAACATGTAAATAAAAAAAGTGGTGTTTTGTGTGCGGTTAGGTATCGGAACAAATCAATGGAGGCGTGTTTCTCTCACAGTGTTGGTAACTATGTGAAAAAGTGGGTGCTGTTTTGGATGTATGTTGTGTTTGGTGACCACCTGGCTCTGTCTTCGCTGTCAACCGGGCCTTATCATTCAAAATAAGATGGGCAGTGTTTATTTTACATGGAATTATTCAAGGAGTGTCACGTTGAACTGGTAAATACGCTCAGGCTTTTTGTTCACATTGCGATTTAACCCAGACCGCAACCGTAATCAAAACAAACATCCAAGACCCAAAAAGGCGAAAGGAACGATTAATTAAGAGACACACGACCCAGTGCACTCGACACATGTTACATTTGTCACGGCTTGGACACACGCCGCACGCTGTAGACGACTTCCAAAATATGGGACGCTCGCATTTGAAATTCTGTTCGCGATTTTTATGGTTAGTTAAATAAAAGATCAAGAACTTTTTAATTGGGCTCCGGTGGGATAAAATTCCAGAATGCAGCCTCGGAGGAATTTACTTGGCAATAAAACAAGCACGGCATTGCATAATTACACTGTTTAAGGAGTACTTATTGCCATTTTTTCTCCGAAGGAGTTCTTGTTTTTGCTTTATGTCGCGGGATAACCTTCACATTTTTGCTCTTCCAGAGTAAATTAATAAATATGCAGTGGAGCTCCTCGAGTAAATAAATGTCTAGTGTGTTAATGAATTTTTAAAGGACTAGGGAAGAACTGTAATGGTCGTATTTTGTAAACTTTGTCATGTTTTCTACATATTGTGGCAACCGAGCGACCTTTTAATGCTATCCACAAGAGTACGATTTCGAGTCACTATGGCAATTATAATAAAACTCCTGGGAAGACTTCGCATATTACCGACATAAGTAAATTGTCAAAATTAGGACGACGACAAGGTCGTTCGGGTAATTAGCAAAGGTCTCAGTTTATCGTTAAAAAGTTGCGTTCTTTGCTTGTAAATAAGTTTGAAAGTATAACCGTTCTTGCTTCATTGCATCGCTTTTTAACCAGGATATTTTCGGTGGAAAATAATTTCTTATTATCTTTAGTATTAAAAAACAGGCGTTGTAAGCTGCTTTACAAGAAACATTAATTTTAAGTATAAGACAATTATATAAAATAGAAAAAGGACTATGTTTGTTTATGTGACAACGATTGTAAAGAGTAAGTAATTTTCACATACTTTTGCAGAGATTAATTAAAGGATATACCTAAGTGAAAAAAAAAAACTAGTAAAACATAAAAAATTAAAAGTAGTCAAATGTCAGTTTTCGTCAAAATTTTAACCTGTATGGCGGTCGCTTGAAATTGTTCCAATGCTTGCGGCCCTCAAATTATGTAATTTCAAGTTTTAGCCTGTTTAATCGAATTACAACATACTGAAGGTCATGTAGAAATTCTGTAAAATTTTTGTAATGCGAATTTACAATTTATAAGTATTAACTTGTCAAAAAGTGTATATATCTAGTTTATGAAGCTGAAACCTAATGGACATTTTTTGTTTATGATTTCAATTAAATTTGAGTACACATGTATAAAGTTAATTTTTATTTTTTGATGAAAAGGATAAGTACATGAGTTTTAATTCTATTGAAAGCAAAGTAAACGATCTATTAGCGACTTTATTAATTTAAGTGAACTCTGAAACTTGGACAGATTAATGTGAAACGCAGTATGTATTTTAAGAATTTTTTATAGATGGTAAAACGTTCACCAGAATTTGTTGTTCATGCTCACCAAAAATGTGATTCTAAAAATTTTGCTAGATAAATCTTGTCGAAAGCGTGCCATATACGTCTACAGCTGTTCTTTAGTTTATTTTTAACATTGAGCGTGTAGGTTTTTCAACAAAAATTTGAAATTGTGTTCACACTTTACGGTTACTGTGGATGTAGTAAATTTCTTTTCAAAATTTTGCTGAGTCTAGATCATCTGAAATGCTCAGAAGACATTGTTTATTTTGCACATGTAGTTTCTTCACACCTACACATGGTGTCTCAAAAAAATGGTCGAAGGTTATTTCAACAGAACTTTCCTGGCCCTTCAAGTATAAACCAACAACTTTAAAAAACTATAGAATTTCATTTTGTGATTTTGCGCCAAGAATTTGCGCTTTCAAGTACGAACAATGTAAAATATATTTAAAGCAGATAACCAACCGGAAAAATTTTCCTCTCAGCACTAATAACAAACGTAAGTTCAAGTGTTTATACATCGGAAAAAGGTCACGTAGAAATTAGTTTGATTTGGATGGGTTTGTGGCCTCAACACAGGACTAAAATTATAAATTAGCCACAATCAAACTTGATTCGTCCACCACAATTATAGGAATAAATGGTTAAATAACATTTAAATTGTTGATGAGGAGATTAGCCAAATTTTGGTTAGCGTTAAAAAATTGACAAAAATCGCTCCAGTAGATCCAGGAGATTACGTGTCTAATAAAAGTCGACACATACGCCAGATAGATCGACGGACGGATGGAAACGTGAGATAACTTTTTGGTACTTTGAGGGTCATGGAACGTCGAGAAAACATGAAATTGGCAAAGTCACCCGATGAACTCGATTACTATACTTACTATACGGCTTATCATCTTATTTTCCTTAAATTGTAATAACACAGCTACTGCTATTGGTATTAAACTTTACCTATCTAAATTGGTATCTTTGTTTTATTGTTAAAAGTAACGCATAACATACTTCTTTACCTTTAATTTAATAATTCGCCTCTGTATGTATTTCAATTTGTACCTGTATACGTATATCACAAAACAATAAAATATGCAAAGTCAAATTCCTGTTTAAAAAAACTTTGGATCAATTTATTTTACTGTCAACATGTTAAATTAAAAAAATCAACAGCGGTTAACCACTGTTCTGTTATCAGTTATCAGAACCACCGATGTTCCATTTCAGCCGATTGATCAAATTATTGTTATCGTATAGGAAACAAATTAGATGAAGTTATCTACCAAGTTCGACTAATTACGATTTGAAAATTGTTCTTCAACAGTACACCAGTATATAGTATATTACTGCTTCGTTACAGTGGAAGCCATAATCCACTTGTTTGGGAAGACCTTTTCCTGTTGAAAGAGTGACAAATAAAAATTATTTCAATAGGACACGTGACCTACCTGACTTACCTAATTGTTTGTGTAACGTACTATTGGGCTTGTATTTATTAAATTTTATTAGGGATCCGATGTAAAGTGCTTATAAACTGAAACTCGTAATCGTACTACATATCTTTAGTCAAAGTTTAGTTTTAAAAAGTAACGGCGCATTATTGAAGTTACAGTAATGCCACATCTCATTTCAAATTTATTTTTTTGCATCACAGATGTGAACTTTTAGGGGTGAAGATAAATTTATTTGCTTTGTGTATACCGTGTAGTTTACAGTGTACTTTAATCACGACATTACGATGTTCCCAGAATTTCAGAGGAATTCGATGAGCCATTTCTGATATAATTGATAAAGTAAATAGATTTACTTTTTAAAAGCAGTTCTGAAATTGAACTACATTTTATTCTAGGAACGATTTTTGAGTAAAGATGTATTTAATATTTTTTGAGATAATATTATACATCTTTTTCTGTTTGTAAATATGTTCACTTTAATACCTTATAGTATACTAGCCTCAAACATATTTGGCGTTTATGACTTCACACCAATTTGACTCCCATTATAATTCAATAGGCAGTCACAACCGGATGTCTTAAACCCGCTCACCGATACCTACCTGAAAAGACCTTTTCGACGTGCCAGGGACGGTCGAGACGCGAAGGACCGGACTCAGAGTAATTTTGTTTGTTAAAATTTTCAAATTTCAAAATTTCCTTACAGAACATGATTTATACTTTGAAGAAAATTACACAAAGACACAATTATTAGAAGTGTTACACACTCGAAAATTTGAGAAACTATATAAAATAGATGCTATGGCGCGAGATCGTGGATTTAGGGTGATTAGACTTCCGCCGTACCATTGTATATTTAACTCCATCGAACTAATCTGGTCGCAAATGAAAAATAATATAAGAAGGAATAATACGGCACCAAAATTTAGTAGTGCAACAATTGACATAATTAGGGAAGAAGCTTCCAAAATAACTGCCGAAATGTGGGCCAATTGTGTACGACATTCCACAAAAGAAGAAGACCAGTACAGGGCACGGTTGATAACACCGTTAATTATTAATTTAGAAGAGTCGAGTGATGATGACAGTGACTATTTCGATTAATAAATAAGCAGTAGTAGTTAATAAGTAAATATATAGTTGTGCTGTAATAAAAAATGATTGAGTACAAAGTTACTTTGTTTTTACTTAAAATAAAAAACTCGAAAGGGGCAGTTGTCGGTAAATGCAAAACTCAGTCCTGCCCTGTGCTTTTACCAGAAAAGGTCTTTTCAGGTAGGTATCGGTGAGCGGGTTTAAGACATCCGGTTGTGACGGCCTATTGAATTATAATGGGAGTCAAATTGGTGTGAAGTCATAAACGCCAAATATGTTTGAGGATAGTATAAATTGTAAAATACATAATTCAATGTATCAGACAAATGCTTAAAGTAAAAGTAAAACAAAAACAATTTCTATTCTAGGGAAGTACTTAATACCATTTATTTAATAGTTTCTTGAAGTGATGTCATCAAGTGTCTGGAAAGAGTGAAAAATACGGTTCAGTCCTTTGATAACAATTACTGTCATAATCTGAACAAAGGTAGTGTAGCTTTCAAAGATAAATTTTAAAATTTCAAATTTTATTTTTTATTAAGGTAACACAAATGCGCATATTTTATATATTATAAAAGTTTTCAATAAAAGTTAAGCAGCAGAAATTCAAGCAAAGTGGATAACCGAGTATATTTTGACGAATATGAAATTACATGTTCTTGTTCCGTTTCACAATAGGATATGGAAATGTGGCTTGTCCGTTTCCATCTGTTTGTTGACGTCTGCTTCTTGAAATTTTTTTGGACGAATAATCTTCGAATCTACAGAACCAATTACCTACAGTTTACAGTTTTAAGTGTATTTTAAGATTCTTGTTAAATTGGTAAAACGCTATTTAGATTTGTTCAGTCGTTCACCACAAAGAAAAGGATGATTTCAGGCAGTGACTATGTATTTAACATTTATACTCACTGCTTCAGGTATAATATTAAGAAAAAAGTTTAAT